ATATATATATAATTATATATAATTATATATATATAAATATATTTAATTTTATATATAATTAAGAAATGTGCATACCGTTCGGCGAATCGTATCTCCCGCGTGTCATTCTCACCGCTCCTTTCGCCACAGATTTACTCACGGCTTGACCTGTACTTCGGTTGTTTAAAACTTACTCCCGTCGTTTAAACCTTACTCCACTCGTTTATATCTTACGCCGCGTGGTTGTTTTTATCGTGCTCCAGGCGACGCAGGTGGATGCAGTCAATCGAAGAGATTCAACGCATATGCAAATGCCCAACATCCTGGCTGATGTCCGTTCTGGTCGCGCCTTCACCCGTAATGTAAGTCGTGTGTGTATCCTGTTAGTCTCACGTTCGCCAATGTATCGTACTATCTCTGTAGTAGACAGTCTTTCGCACTCATCGGATGTATTCCCTACTACAGCTCCACTGAAACACTTGACTTTTGCACCTAAATGCGAAATGTATATACATGTACATATATATACATATCTATGCATATACAAACATCGAAATGCATGTGCATATGCATTTTCATATACATGTACACATACATATACATGCACATATCTATATCTATACATTCTCACATACGCATCGTAGTCATCCTAAACCCTACAGTCCTTGATTTCTTCTCGATATCCAGCACGACATGCCTGAGATAGAGGATGCGGCCAATGAACTGACCAAGCGCATGACCCAGTACTACGGCCCCACCACCGCTTCTATGGAAGACCTCTCTGAGGCTGTCGCGTGAGTTCGGCAACATCAGTAGTAAACTCATATTCGTACCCCAGCATGCGAATAGTATAGTTAACCTCTTTACTTATCAGGATGAGTCATGGAATAGTATAGTTAACCTCCTGTGTAGTCTCCATATACTTATCAGGATGAGTCATGGAATAGTATAGTTGACCTCCTGTGTAGTTTCCATATACCTATCAGGATGCGTCACGCGACATGTACACAGCCTGGGACACTCCCTTGGCTACGGTGTGAGTCATAGCTGCTGCTGCTAAAGACCTCACAGTGGCTTTAGTACCAGTCTGTACTACGTAGGCTGGTCCAGCTATATATCTGCTCAAAGTATGTAGATCAAAGCAAGGCGTCAATGGTCGGCGGGTGTGTCGTAGTCATTCCACCGCGTGAGGATTGTATTCTCACTCGGCCTACCTACCCACGTGCACCGATTCCGTGCACACGTGTGGACTGGTTGCTGTGTTCGACTGGTGAACAGTCCGGGTCTGTGGCAAACCAACAGAGCTACAGGAGACCTCTACGCGTGTTGCGCACTACGTATTGGTCAGTGGCTCGTTGACCAACAATTTTTAGAAACGATGAGTCATCCCCTGGGTCGAGACAGTTGGCAATTGGTTTGCTGCCACCAGCACTTGGCTGTTTAAACTTGCGTATATGACATCGGCGGTATTGTACGTATTCAACTCAGGCTAGGGTTAGGGCTTTAGGACTTTACCCCCTGAGTCGCGTTCCTTCACAGCTCAGTTGTCAATTGCGCCATTTTAGTTTTAAGTTTAAATAAAGTTAATTATTGCACATTGATTAAATTATAGTTTGATTCGCGATACCTTCAAATGCATTTTGGGAATATTGTTTAAAATTGGCTACTTGATCCTAAGGCGGTTCCAAATCGGTTACTGTTTCTGGCGAATTAATGCCCAAAAATCCCCGCTCTTACCTCTTATTCCATACCTAGGGTCAGAATTGACCTCTCACCTTCCATATATGGGCAAATGGTGACGCGCCAAAAAGAGCCCGCTATAAAACAGGCTCATTGTTTTTGACACCTGCCGTAAAGCATTCAAACTTGGACATAGTACTGTGTATTTATCAACTTGTTGCTATTGTGGTTCCTAATGTACATACTGAAACAAATGAATCGTGGTAACAGCCTTGGTGCGCCGATAGTGCCAAAAAAAAATAGGGTGCAAAGAGCTAAGAGCTCAGCCGAAAATTTAGGCAGAAACAGATATCAATTTTGAACCACCTAAAACTTAAATTGTATGCAAAACTCTTGTCCGCACATGATGAAGCACTTGATGTGGATATCTGTTGTGCATCTTTCGTACATATCTGGGATTATGTAGCGTACCTTCCGTACGTAACTAATTGTTGTCTTTGATGCTCCTGTAGATAGGTAGTTCAATGTACTCAATCGTACAAATCCTTATATACTTTAATACCAAAATAATAGCTATACACCTGAGGTCAAATATATAACCGATGAAAAATCACATTCCGGAACATTTAAGGGCATGGACAGTACCTTAACAGTTGCGTTTTACGTTTAAATATGTTCACAGTTACTTGCTTCATTTCAACCTGGAAGCATATATATGGAAATCTCCGATTGTCGGTACAACCATATTATTTTCAAGTGACAGAACGATCGTGCCACCTGTCCTCTTGTAATTGTTTTGGGAACGTATATGGCACCATCGAGGTAATAACAAGAAATACATTCAAATTTCAAACTTGGGCAGTAGCCTTTTGGAAATCACAATAGCCTTCTTATCAGAACGACAAATAAGATTGAGAAGTACCTGCTGGTACACTCCCATCCCTAGCCAAACGGTTGCAACCAATACAAATGCAAATATATTATCGGTGAGATGATGCAGCTGGCAGCAACCTATCATTGCCTGCTATTTACATGGTTTAATGTACAACCTATAAGGTAATGTGAAAGGGAAGGAAGTTTATCGTTCCATAGGATTGCCTATAGGAGGAGTTTTTTGTGTTTACGGGGTAGCTGATAAAATGAGTTGAAAACAACACTGTTTTAGAAGAAGATAAATGGACCCGGCTTTCGAGGGTGATATGCCGGCGCTACTGGACGAAATTATACCCGAATAGCAGGGTAAGAATACACTAGGGTAGTATATAGGATGCTGTAGTGACAGCAGTGTTAGACACACTAGCACAACTACCTGTTACACACTAGCACAACTACCTGTTACACACTAGCACAACTACCTGTTACACACTAGCACAACTACCTGTTACACACTAGCACAACTACCTGTTGACTGCCTGTAATTTTCTCTATGCTCAACTTGTTTAGAAATCACCTTAACACTCATCCTAGTATGGTTACACACCGCTGTACATCTAAAGGCCAGTGTGTGTATTGTAAGGAGACAGAGCATAGGATGTATGTGTTATCTATATGCGTTATGTACCTATAAAATAGACGGGCCGTCGCACGTGCAGCTTCGGTGGAGCACGGAACATGGAACGTTAAGTCTCTCAGCCGAGTGTTTAATATGTCCCACCAAAGACTTCCAGCAAAACAAGCGAGGTTTTCAGATCATTGGGTATTCCACTCAGGAATTCGCACGATAACTGACAAACCGATCTAGAGATCTGTTTTCCATCGGCGGGATTGGCTATGCTCAGATGTAGTGCACGTGGCCAACTGGCCATGTGACCGTGAGTGTGATATGTCAAACCCTTTTTTTTGTCCAGGGTCCGTTTCAGACCAAATTTGGACATAAAATGAGGTAGACAAAAATTATATAGCTCTCTCAGAGGTACATACTCTGGTACGGTTACACGTACATACCCGCATATGAAATGCTCCTTTATTTTTTAGCGTTCAAGGCCAAGCATCGACTTTGGTTCGTGGTCGAATTGATGACGTGAGCTTTGGCTCAGTTGTTGGCGGTAAGTATTTATACCTTGATAGGCAATATCTCTGACTACAATAACCCGCACCCAGAACATACCACAGAATTCAAGCACTGGACACTCGCGCCCAGCAGGCGATTATTACCGCCATTCTCAGATACATTATATATTGCGTTTACTGTATGGGTGATCATAAAATCAGATACTAATCTCTTCACCTGAGTATAGCTAGCCACACGTGAATTCACACAAATATTCTGGTAAACACATACTGTAAGATATGTTTCGAGTCCCAGTATAAAAAATGGACCGAAAAAGCATAGCCCTTTAAATTGAACATAGAAGGCTGTGAAAAAAGAGGTAAATATGTACATATTTTTTATATTAAAAATATCACAACGATGTATGACTGTAAATACTGTAGTTTGTTTTTAAAAATAAAAATATAAGAATTTACCAACACCATAGCGTATTAAAAATATTTAGCGGCATAGCCTGGTTTAATTTAGAAGGTTTTAGTTTGTAAAAATATGAACCAAGTTTATACTGTTATGTGAAAACTCTCAGAACACACAAGAGCGAAGTTCGATACCTACTACCGAACATCAAATCTACGGTTTTGTACTTTGGCGGGGACATGATAATCATTCCAGATCATACACGTCCAGAAATATTGGCACCGCCATCTGTCATAAATGTATATGTTCGTATTATAGTATTATAGACGGTACATATATATTAAATTGCGAGGGTACTTATATCGTCTGTGTATACATGTGCCGTAAGTGTATATGAAGACAGGGCATGTGTGGTACGCAATATCTATACACGTTACCTATAGCTTCAGGTTATACAATGTTATTCAATGGATTATAGCAAGTAATCAATCATATACGCGTACATATTGCAGTTGCTGGGTATGCGAAAGTTCACTTTCGTTGCAATACATGCTGAGATTTGTATCTGGATAAAACGAAATAGAATATAGTACCACGTGCATAATATCCACATAAACCGACATACATATGTGCACGACAACCTTGTACATATCTCTTTCGCAATTTTATTGTGTATACATCAGTAATCTAGCAACTATACATCAGTAATCTAGCATCTCAACAAACACGATGGCGGACAACAATGGGCTGGGTGGACACAACAAGCGGCGCCTTGGTGGCTCTGGTATACCCCCACCTCAGGGTAGGCACAAACGGTTTAAAGATGATAGCGAAAGCGGCGATGAAGAACCCCCTCAGGTTATCTATAATATTGATCCAAACGCGCATCTACATGCACAGCCACACGAGCATATGCCAAATGGGGGTTACGAACAGGTACATGCGGGTGTGCACACACAGATAAGCTCAGGTGTACATACACGCCTGGAGGATAGTGATACTGAGCAGATGGATCAGTCACATCTGAGTGTATTTGAGAGCATGCGAGAGCCGGGCTTGGGCGTTGAGGGAGGCGGCTGTGGGGTTGAGGGGGAGATCACTTTAAACGCACACACTCCGTCACAAGCGCCGTTCATACCACAAGTCATACAGTCCGCACCCCAGGCACATCTACACGCACAGACACACGTGCATAGCAACATGCACACACACGCACACGCACACACGCATTCACCTGTGCGGGATCATACGGAGATAGACAACGAAGGCACCGTGCATGAGGACACGGGTGAGAGCTCTGGGTTGTTCTTGGCTGAGACTATGACGCCACCACCCCAAGAGGAGAATGCGAGTGCTCTGCTGCAGGATGGGGGTGGCACTGACGTAACCTTAAATGACGCTGACCAACTAAACGGTGGTCCATTGAATGGGCCGGATGGTGTGCTCGATCCGAATCAGCATCAGCAACACCAGCACATGCAGCAGCAACAACAAGCACAACAACAACAACACCAGCAACAACAACCACAACACCAGCAACAACAACAACAGCAACAGCAACAGCATATGCAGCCTACAGAGCACGGCGGGTACACGCAAAACACAGCTACAAGCGCACATTTCACGCAGAACACAGTCACCAATTCAGACGGCACGCCGGGGAACGGCTTGGCACTCAATGCACCTTATGTCGATGTGCACGGTTCACAGCAGACGGTGGGGGAGGGATTAGGGGGTGCGTACACGCAGCACGATGGTAGTGTACACGCGGGCGATATGTCAAAGGTGGCGACGGGTGGCAAGGAGCATGAGGATGAAGCCGCCACACGCGCACACGCACATACACATACACACACACACGCACACGCACATACACATCCACACACACACGCACACGCACACGCACAGATGCTGGCTCAGGTGGTGCACGCCCAGGCCCAGGTACACTCATTGGCTTTAGCACAGGCACAGGCACAAGCAGAGGCCCAAGCACAACTACAACAGCCACCACCACAACAACAACAACAGCAGCAGTACACACCACAGTACACGCCTGATCAAACACAGGTACCCAACCAGGCGCAGGTGCAGGCACCAGGACAACCCGATCTCCAGACAGACACGCAACAGCCCCCCCTCGCAGTGGTGCATACCCACCAGAACACCCATCGTAGGGCCGGGGGGGTGAAGCACCTGAGTGCCGACAAGAGACGGTACATCCAGCGAAAAGACACCCACCCCTCTCTGTTGTCATGGCAATGGACGGCCGAGCGCCGGGCGAAGCTGGCGATGGAAGGTGTGTGTGTGTGTGTCGTGTGCTGTTGGGTTTTGGTTGGGTTTTGACTGTTAGGGCGTGCTTTGGTTGTTGATTTGAGAGGTGTGTGTGTCTCGTGTGATGTTGGGTTTTTGACTGTTTGGGTGTGCTTTGGTTATTGATTTGGGAGAAGGTGTATGTGTGTGTGTCGTGTGCTGTTGGGTTTGATTGGGTTTTTGACTGTTTGTGCGGGCTTTGGTTACTGATTTGAGAGGTGTGTGTGTGTCTTGTGTGCTGTTGGGCTTGGTTGGGTTCCTTACTGTTTGGGCGTGCTTCGGCTATTGGTTTGAGAGAAGGTGTGTGGGTCTCGTGTGCTGTTGGGTATTTGACTGTTTGGGCGTGCTTTGGTTGTTGGTTTGAGAGAAGGTGTGTGTGTCGTGTGCTGTTGGGTTTGGTTGGGTTTTGATTGTTTGTGCGTGCTTTGGTTATTGGTTTGAGAGGTGTGTGTGTCTTGTGTGCTGTTAGGCTTGGTTGGGTTCCTTACTGTTTGGGCGTGCTTCGGCTATTGGTTTGAGAGAAGGTGTGTGTGTCTCGGGTGCTGTTAGGTATTTGACTGTTTGGGCGTGCTTTGGTTATTGGTTTGAGAGGTGTGTGTGTCGTGTGCTGTTGGGTTTTTGATTGTTTGGGCGTGCTTTGGTTATTTTTTTGAAAGACTTTTTGGGATGAAATCGCTGGTTGCTGCCTTGAATAGGCTGTCCATGGGCGTGGATGCACATAAACGTGTGTTGTCTGTATTGTGTGTGTAGCAGGTATATATACTGTGTGTATCTATAAACATGTGTTGTATGTATATAAGGTATATATACTGTGCGTGTTTATAAACATTTGTTGTGTGTATGGCAGGTATATATACTGTGTGTGTCTATAAACATGTGTTGTATGTATATAAGGTATATATACTGTGTGTGTTTATAAACATTTGTTGTAAGTTTGGCAGGTATATATACTGTGTGTGTCTAATAAACATGTGTTGTATGTATATAAGGTATATATACTGTGTGTGTCTATAAACACGTGTTGTATCTGTAGCAGGTATATATGCTGTGTGTCTATAAAAATGTGTTGTATGTGTAGTGAGGGTCTTTGCCGGCGTGGCAGATATCAACGCTTTACGAACACTCATCAAAGCTTTACGAGCACTTATCAGTACACATGCAATAGTACATGCAACGTTATGCACTCCCATCTCTCGTAAACGCAGTAAATAAGGGGTGAATGAATGGTCTAATTAACCTAGTACTAGGCTGTTTGGTCCAGTCGTTCACCTTATGCACTACCCAACTGGCACGGAGGGTGTCCTTCGTTAGCGAACGCAGACGTGTGTGTGTGTGTGTGTGGAAGAATACGAGCCGAACTGGCGGGTCGAGCAGAGGCTGTGCTGCTAGTGTACGTATAGCCAATCGTTGCGACTGCGCTCGTTAGGGAAATGGACAGTGATGTTGGTGTGTGTGTTTCGCATGCAACTTTTGCAGTTGTATTGAGAGTGAAGAGGTATCTTTATGCGTTTGTGCAACTATATACATGGGAATACATCCAGCCTGTGTACAGCTATATACATGTAAATACATTACAGTCTGCGTACAGCTATATACATCTAATTACATCTAGCCTGTGTACAGCTATATGCATGTAAATACATTCCAGTCTGTGTACAGCTATATACATCTAATTACATCCAGCCTGTGCACAGCTATATACATGTAAATACGTCCAGCCTGTACAGCTATATACATGTAAATACATCCAGCCTGTACAGCTATATACATGTAAATACATACAGCCTATGTACAGCTATATACATGTAAATACATTCCAGTCTGTGTACAGCTATATACATCTAATTACATCCAGCCTGTGCACAGTTATATACATGTAATACGTCCAGCCTGTACAGCTATATACATGTAAATACATCCAGCCTGTGTGCAGCTATATACATGCGAATACATCCAGCCTGTGTTGGCATGTCTTTGACCGAGGGTATTCCAGAGTTTACCAGATTCGCAATTCGTGTGCAGGCTATTTCCATCGTGCGCACGGCACTCCTTTCCTAGATTGGAACTTGTATCTATGTATTTTGTATAGTGTAAATTATATCTATACAATCTATGTAATACAAATGATGTCTATATAATGTACATAGTGTAAATTACATCTATACAATCTATATAATACAGATGATGTCTATATAATCTACATAGTGTAAATTACATCTATACAATCTCTATTTTCTATCATTTATTTAATGCAAATTGTATCTATATAATGGGCGTGTGGTGAGGTGTATAAACTGAACGACTGCTTATCTGTTACGCTTGTTCTATCTTATCACATGGATTGCTGGTTTAAAATACACTGGAAGACGTCCCTGATTATTAAAGTTGTTCGATATAATCACATCGATTACTGGTTTAAAAAATGTTGGCACGCGGCTGTGTGTAGAGATCGAATTGTATGGTCATTTCAGGAAACCACTTTTGTTGGATTCAAAAAATGGATCAACCGCTTATGTTGAATTAAAAAATGTGTCAACCACTTATGTTGGATCCAAAAAATGGGTCAACCATTTATGTTGGATTCAAAAAATGGGTCAACCACGAATGTTGAATTCAAAAAATGGGTCAAACACTTATTTGTTGGATTCAAAAAATAGGTCAACCACTTATGTTGAATTCAAAAAATGGGTCAACCACTATGTTGGATTCAAAAAATGGGTCATAGACCAAACATTCGATTCGCCACATGTTATTTTTCTTCACAGGTGTACATTATGAGCGTTGGTATCATACAATACCACTCAACGTGTCCGCATTCTCTCTCCCTTTCTCTGGTTGTTTGCAGGTGTGCACTATAAGTTGGGCTATTTCACCACCTTTGAAGACGAAATCATACGCGACAACGTCACACGGTTTGCAGAAGAAAACGGAGACACGCCTGAGAGCCTTGTTTGGACAAAGGGAAGATCTCGGAAGGATTTTTGGCGCGAAGTCTGCAGGGGTTTGGAACGGCCCTTGAGATTCGTCGCCAAACACACGAGAGTGTTATTTCCCCAAACCCATATCAAGACGGGGTACTTCTCCAAAGAAGAAGATGATCAGCTCATACAGTATGTTCAAATGCGTATGCATATATATATGTGTGTGTGTGTGCGTGTATATATATATATGTGTGTGTGTGTGTGTATGTATGTATGTTATATATATATATGTGTGTGTGTGTGTGCGTGTGTGTGTATGTATGTATATATACAATATATATTTGTGTGTGTGTGTGTGTATATGTATGTATGTATATTTATGTATTTGTATGTTTGTATATATTACTATTTATGAATGTATGTATGTATGTATATATAAGTATGTTTGAATGTATGTATGTATGTATATACATGTTATATATATGTGTGTGTGTGTGTTATGTTTACCTAATGGCATATTTATATATATATGTGTGTGTGTGTGTGTTTGTGTGTACATATGTTGTATATATATATATATATATTATTTAACGGTTCGTGTGGGTGAAGTTTATTCGCGGAGGGGTTAAATATCATTTGAGTGTCATCTCCTCGAGGAGAGTAAAGTTACTGGTCATGATCTCTGGCCTTATGCGCGTTTACGTATGTAACTGGTTTGATTACTACGTATATACGATTTTTTTCGTTTGTATGTGTTGTACAGTGCGTTTGCCATTCATCTGCCTGTGTATCTGTGCATTTATAGATACATTCCATGTGTATGTATTGTATGTGCTTGTGCCGTCCTTGGAATGTTCACATACGCGTCTCGTTACGCTGACTGACTACGCCCTTTCACCTGCGTGTTTTCTCGATCCATGCCGAACTGATTTTGTGTAGGTAACTGCCTATCTCGTGCTCTATATGATACGTTATGGTAATCTGCGGGACATGTACTGTAGCATTTGCGTGTGTGTGTCTCATGATGATACCATACTCCTACTTTGAGGTCCCCATTGAAGATCGTCTTGGAACCACCACAAACATGCGCGTTGGTAGAACTTATTGGTTTTGCGCACGTGTCTTTTTGTACGTGTATATCCACCATCCTGATTTCAAGTCTAAATATTCAATTGTATTCTATACTGCCCCATTCTCTTAGTCTCCAGAACCTCAAATTGGATCTCACGACCATCGCCTGCCGATTGGGCCGTTCCACAGATTCGGTACGGCATCGTACAGAGTACTTGACCGAACTAGGCCATCGGGACTTAGTCAACACGGGTGGCGATGCTGCTCAAGGTAAATACTTGTATATATGTGTGCGTGTGTATGTGTGTGTGTGTGTATCTATGTATCTATGTATATATATTCTTGATTGTTTTGAGAAAAGCACAGCTTTGTCAATCTTGTCACCCCATCTCTGTTCTTTTCGCCCAGTCTTAGCGATGATCCGTACCAGAACACGAGCGTATACAGTGAGTCTAAATGGATTGAGATCTGTATTTCTCATCCTATAACCGAGTCCACCCACCTCTCTAGTCGAAGCAAATAAAAATCCACAGTGCGTACGTATTGTCTGGGCTTGGTTCCATGCACGCATACCCTATCCATCCAAACACTCGGTGCAAAAGTGCTTTCTAGTAACACATCTCTCGTCTCACCTCAGCAGCTCCGGGCGCAGACAGCATAGTGTCACTGGCCACCATCACCCACCCAGGCGGTGCCGCAACCTCAACCTCAGAAACCACGCTCACTCACCCCACCCAAGACCCAACTACCCTCGTGCAAAGTACTATGGACCAGCTCACGACCAATGCCAATCAGCCTATGGCCGACATCACAGACCCAACCACCGCCCAGGCCGCTGTGGGCCTCGATACGGACTTTGCGGCTGCGCAGTATACGGGTATGTGTGGGTGGCATGTGGTTATAAGGGATAGGTGAAGCTGTTATATGGGTATATGTGGCTGTGTGGGTGGCATGTGGTTGTAGGGGATAGGTGAAGCTGTTATACAGGTATGTGTGGGTGACATGTGGTTGTAGGGGATAGGTGAAGCTGTTATACGGGTATGTGTGGGTGGCATGTGGTTGTAAGGGGTAGGTGAAGCTGTTATACGGGTATGTGTGGGTGGCATGTGGTTGTAAGGGGTAGGTGAAGCTGTTATACGGGTATGTGTGGGTGACATGTGGTTGTAGGGGATAGATGAAGCTGTTGTACGGGTATGTGTGACATGTGGTTGTAAGGGATAGGTGGAGCTGTTATACGGGTATGTGTGACTGTGTGGGTGACATGTGGTTGTATGTGATGGGTGAAGCTGTTGTACGGGTATGTGTGGGTGGCATGTGGTTGTAAGGGGTAGGTGAAGCTGTTATACGGGTATGTGTGGGTGGCATGTTGGTATAGGGGATAGGATAGGTAAAGCTGTGTTGCGTGCCAATGCATGCCAATGCAGATGGGCACTATGCCCATGTCCGATGAGGCTGTGGCTCAGTATTCGTTGCTTGCGCGTGATTGCCATACACCCTATGCCGCTGCATAGAGCACCTCATCGCCGCCTTCAGTCTTAAGCGATTCATATTATTCGTGTACTCGCATCCCCCACCACACCTAACCTCCCCTACCACCCACGCTACAGGCAAAGAGATGAACAAGCAGCTCTCTGCATATGCCGCGTCTGTGCCAACCCCATCGCATGCCACCGTCAGCCAGCACGGGCAACTTCTCAACGCCCTTACCCACCCAGACGCCCCCAAGCACTCAGAGGGACCTGAGCTTCTCCACACAGCCTCCCACGCCGACGTCACATTGGCGGACAATGCCACAACAGCACACAGTGCACCTGCGAATGCGCATGCACAGTCGCTCGCGGAGGGTACGGATGTGCTGGCTCAAATGGCCACAACTACCAATACCCACACCAACACCAACGCTGACCCAAACACAAGCACAAATGCAAATGCAGGCACCACTCCGAGTTCGGATCCCAATGCCAATGCGAATGGCCTGGCATTGATGAAGCCTGGATCAACGGCGGTAGCAGTGTCCCTGCCCAAGAGGACCCCCAAACGCATAATCGTCGCACGCCGTATGTCCTGTTTCTCTCCGCGATTGTTTGTAGTGGACGTTGGGTGGGACTGTACACATAGGGTAGTGGGGGGTGAGTGAGGGTTGTACAGATGGGGTGATGGGGTTGAGTTTGGCTGGTACACTTTGGATGATGGTGGTGGTGGTTGCTGTTGTGTACATGATGTCGGTGGTCTGTGCAGGGCGTAGCGGTCACATGCTGTGGCATATGTATGTCTATTAAAAGGCTATCTGTACCCTTGTGGCATCGTGTACTGTATAGTGGTCGTATCTGTACCCTTGTGACATCGTGTAGTGTATAGTGGTCGTATCTGTATCCTTGTGACATCGTGTAGTGTATAGTGGTCGAATTACTTCCAGTCCTCCATGCATGGCCACTGCGCCTCATCGGTCGTTTATTTCTATGTTCGGAAAGATATGGCACGGGCACTGATAACTCCTCGTATATATATATATATATATATATATATACTTCTTACTTGCACATGCACGTTTGCACGTGTGTTGGAATGAACGTTACTTGAGCATAATAACTGTACGCATTTAATCTAGATACCTGTCGTATAAATAGTATTCCTACTTACACATGCACGCGTGTATGTATGTTGGCATGATCATCACTTGATCATAATATTCTGTACGCGTTTAATCTATATAGCCGTCGTATAAATAGTATTACTACTTACACCTGCACGCGTGTATGTATGTTGGCATGATCATCGCTTGATCATAAAATTCTGTACACGTTTCATTTATATACTCTTCGTATAAGTATATAGTAATCCTTCTTACACATGCACGCGTGTATTTATCTTGGCATGATCATCACTTGATCATAATGTTCTGTACGCGTTTAATCTATATACTCGTCGTATAAGTAAATAGTAATCCTACTCACACATGCACATGCACACGTGTATGTATGTTGGCATGATCATCACTTGATCATAATATTCTGTAAGCGTTTAATCTATATACTCGTCGTAGAAATAAATAGTAATCCTACTCACACATGCACGCGTGTACGTGTCGGCATGATCGTCACTTGATTACAGTAAGCTGTACGCCCTTAATCTCAACCAAACGTTCCTGTGCACACATGCACGCACATAGGTTTATGGACAGACGCCGAAGACATAAGGTTAATGGAAGCGGTGATGAAAGTCACGGGGAGTGAGAAGCAGTCGGATATAGTGAACAGTCTGATCTCGTGGAAGAAGGTCAAGAATCTTATGGAAAACCGCACCTCCAAGCAATGCCAGAACCGATGGTACAGTCCATGTTTGTGTGCTGTGTGTGCCTTGTTATGTAGAATTTCCTGTAGGAATGTGTGTGCATGTAGCACGTATCATTGCACAGACGTGTACGTGTTGAGCCGATGGTACAGTCCATGTTTGTGTGCTTTGTGTGTCTTGTTATGTAGCATTTCCTGTAGGAATGTGTGTGCATGTAGCACGTATCACAGACGTGTACGTGTTGAACCGATGGTACAGTCCATCTTATGTGCTCGTGTGCATGCATTTGTATCTTTTGATGCTGTGGGAATGTGCTCGTGTGTGACAGTGTTTTTTTGTGCACCTATTGTAGCTTTTACTGTAGGAATGTGCGTTCATGTAGTATAAATGTGTGCGTGTTCAAATGAAGGTACAGTCCATGTTTATGTGCTCGTGTGCATGCATTTGTATCTTTTGATGCTGTGGGAATGTGTGTGTGTATGTTAGTGGCAAGGGTTGGCTTTTCAGCTTGAACAGTGTCAGTTGGGTAGTATTTTAATTCAAGTACGTGTATACTATGACCGTGATCTATGCTACATATCTATTTTAACCCAGACGTAATCTTGTCAGTATTTGAATAGATGAATTTGCATCAACTATATATACGTGAGAATGTGTGGCTGTATTCACATCTATATATACGTGAGAATGTGTGGCTGTATTCACATACATACATACATGCGCACATGCATGCAAGCAGTATGTATGTATACATACATGCATGCATACATACATGCACACATACATACCTCTGGCTAAAAAACATACGTGTCTCTCCCCCACTCTAGGCCCATACTTGCATTTGCGACTGCACAGAGGAATGCGGAAGGGAGGATCACCAATCGCAGGACAGTAGCGGGCGGCAATTCCACGGAATCCCGCATAGAGATCTCCAAGCAGATCTGCGCCATGTAAGTGGTTGTGGAGTTAAACTTGGTTTTACAGATGTGATCGCTCTGTAATCGGTTTTTGAGTTAAACTTGGTTTTAAAGATGTAATCGTTCTGTAAGTGGCTGTGGAGTTAAACCTAGTTTTAAAGTTGCGATCAACTAGCTGTATCATTGTATAGAACTCATTATCATATGTGCGGTGAAAGATACCTGAGCAGCCCGTCCTGAATTTCAGTGCAGGTGCATGTGTTGCGCACAATACATGGCTTCTGTTGCATGCACGTCACAGTATCTGTAATGAATATCGTATACATGACCCTACTTGCATAACCCTACTTACCCAACCTACTTACATTGCTATATATCATTCGATATTTTTGGCCACCACTCTCCCTGCTGTCACGTAACGGTGTGAGAGTGGCTTGTGTTTGGGACCACTTGGTATCCCAGTGCATCATATCATAATTTACGTCCGTCTATTGCATTCGCAAAGGTATCTCAGATGTGCCATGTGTATGTGTTTTGTCGGCTACGGATGTACCGCACATCCTCATATGAATACATCTCATCGCTTACGTAGACTCACGCGTGACGGCTACGTGGACGAGACAGAGGTTAACTGGTCTAAAGTTGGTATCGAGATGGGAAGGTAAGCACGCTGCTAGCGTTGGCGTAAGAGCCATTGGCTTTTGCAAGTCTTGTCTGCCATGCCTATGGCATTAAGGCATTTGCTTTATAGCTAGCGTTGTGTATATATGCGTATGCGAACTAATTTCAATATGCGCGTTTGCATGTTTGTTGTATATGCGCAGCCTCTCATTTGTTCGTGTGGTTCATCGTTGTCGACCTGTGTGCTCATGTGGTAGTTATTGTTGACTTTGCTTTTGTATGGTGACCATTATATACATAATAGTTGCTGTTCGTGTAGTGTGAAGCGCTAACGAGTACGAAATTCAAGGCAACTGTGAATGACACATGCATACGGTGGGTGCTGTATAGTCGCCCATTGTTGGTATCACATATCTGTCTGGTCAGTTCTGTTTGCCTGATTCAGTTTGGAATAGTTTTCTCGTTTCTAAGTACCACCCAGTACCCACTGAGCGACAATCGCGCAGCTATATCGTGGCGTCCGTTACGATTCGTATGTAGTCTTGCATGAATGTGGCTGTAGGGTTGCACGGTTAAACGCTCATTTTCGCACGACCATACGATTTTGCACCGGATTTAACTAGGTTTTACTTCCCTATCCCATTCAGACACGGCAAATTCATCCGCTCCAGATATCGATTTCTGCGAGATCTGGTACCGTCGCACGAGGACAAAGATCTGCCAGGTGAGTTGTGCAGTGTTCGCAAACCATTCCACATGCCATTGAACTTGTCCCTACTCTCCTTATATTCTAAGAACTTGTACATGTACGCGTTACGAATGGTACCTGTATCTCCCACTTGGAGGTTGATTGATTTATATCTCACCCCGTCAAACGTCTGACCGTGTGAACCTAAAACTTGGTTACAATCGGGGACCATTTGCAAACTTGATCTACAATCGGGGACCATTTGTGCTATGTCATCAGAATCTCAACCTTGTTGTTCTACTCCTAGCACGTCGTCGTACGTGTTTGTTCTGAATGTGTGATTCCGATGCATTGTGAATTGAGGTTCAATTACGCCCCTAAGTTAACGGACTTCGGGCTTTATTGTCTTACTCCTATTAACATTTCGCTATCTCGCTTGTTGCAGCTATCGTTGCACACATCCTTTCTACAACTGTGCCGGCTATGGAGGCCAAGAACAAAAGCGCCTCGCCTTTCCTTGTGCCAGCCGAGATGCAAGGTGTGTTTCTGGCGTATTCTGTATATGTCTGTGTATGGGATCGTCCGTTCTCCTGTGCAGCAATACAACCGCAGCAACATAGTTTGAATGCTGCATGTCGATTACCCATCCAACTTGGACGTGAATCAAATTATTATGAAGCGTACTAGCGCATCTCGGCATCGTATGCGTTAGATATCTTCATTTGCAAGTACATGGAAAGTTCGGAATTAGTGAGGTACACCAAAGAACATGAAACGCACAGACGTGTACAAGCGCACCGCTCCTCAGCAAATCATATTTTTAACTCCGCCATATTCTCCTGTGCAGAACAAGCGATTTTGCCCGCCCCCGAAGCGATGGTTGATCCCAGCACTATCCCCGCTCCTCCCTCTGACCATCTGGGAGCGGGTAATGGACAATTAACGGCCGATTTTAGTTCGACTGTCACCCTACCAAACAATCAAAGTGAGTCCTCTGGTGTACTGCAAGCGCCTGGTGTGAATGTAAGTATGAATGGGCCACAGTTTCAGTCCGGAGAGCAACAGCAACAGCAACAGCAACAGCAACATCAGACACTGGAGGCACAAACTTATACACAGCCACAAACCGAAGCGCCAATTCAACCCCAACTACAACCACAGCAACAGCAGCAAGCGACTACGTATGCATCACCATCACGAGCTATGTTAGCACCTGACGAGAGCGTGCCATCTGTAGAAAATATAAAGCCGTTGGTGGCCCAGGCACTGGCACGTGCAACTATAGACGAGGACGAAGAGACGGAACCCGACCTTGAATAAACGATATCGTAATACTTAGATAGTATCGGACTATATTTTTGAACGATTTTGAATCACTCGCAGCTGTGTGAGTCTTGGATAGTATTGCAAATTATTTTTGAACGATTTTGAATCGTGCGCAGCGATGAGTCTAATGCTTCTACCCTACCAATAATGGACATGTACACATGACATGCATGACAATGTCTCCGCCACTGGCTTCCTCACCTTAGCAATCCGTTTCATAAGAGCTGCTCTGTTGCTTTTAATATCGGGGGAGATTTCTATAATTTTGAGAGATGTAGGTCGTCTGGTTGCAAGGCACCTGTCGATCTTCTAGGTATGTCGCTTCTAACGATATTTATCCAGACCCAGAATTAAACATGAACATTGGGCCACAAATTGTTCACGGAAAATAAGTCAGTAGGCTGTATAATACTGGTTATGGAGTGCAATTCTTTGACTTGCAAATGAAAGTTGAAATTGTTATTCTCGTACTTTGATGTTATGATGAACACATCTTCTCAAATCATCATTTCGATACCTCAATAGGTGGACAGGCCAGCTTGTATTGACCATAACAGCAGGTGAGCTGCCTGACTGTGCTAGATTCGAGTTTTGGCCCATAGATCGTACATAAATATATCGTAAATATATCGTGAGGCGGGGCTGTGTGTGGGCGTGGACTGGTGGCGGGTGGGCTATGTGATTATTGGCTTTATAGAATTCATCAACTGACTATTGATGGGAGAATGAGTTGGGAGCGGAGTTGGGACAGATTTTCAAAACAATGACATTTAAGAGAAATATCGAAGTCGATTGAGGAATCTCTTGAGAAGTTAGAGTCTCGACCGAGTTGGCATTCGTCATTGTCACATATGATAAGAGTGAAACATTTTAAATATACAGAAGTTCACACTACATTGTGATTTGTTTTTAAAACTCTGACTTTGCAGTTTGCACATTTGCACAGTCGTCAGCCGTCGCTCGTCACTGATCACAGTGATCAGTCGCCACTCGCAATTGTACACCAGTCGGTCGCAAATATTCTATTTTGTTTATTTATTTTTTACTGGAATCAAGCAAAATAAAATACTACAAGTAACGCACAACGATACGACTCACCACTCACGAGTCATCACTGTCACCATTCACCGCGAGTCCGTGTCTCTACAAGTACATAATAATTATGTAAATTATACGAATAACGACTCAAATGAGTCACTTTAACCTAACGACGCACAAGCTTTTTCTTATGCGGATTGCGGAATGTCCGTGGCATTTCAAATTTGAAGGTTTTTTATTTATGTCAACATTTATTGCAATAGAGGGTGGGCGGGCCACTATCCACGGTCGGATTTAGAATCCATAGTTACACATTGGATATGTTATAAAGCTATGTTGTTCTGTGGGGAAATACAAATTCTATATCATGTGTTTAAAAAAAGGCTGTGAAGAGCCCACCAAACGACCGGCCTAGAGTAGTTACTACTCGTTAAAAATATTAAATACCTTTCGGGAAACTGGATCAATTTCGTTCCTGATCTCATCCAGAATTGGGGCTGTCAAGATTGACTCTATACGACACCAATGAACATAAAATAATTAGCCAAAATCATCTCACATTGTTCTCCACATGTGTATTTCAATAATACACGCGTACATACACATTGTTAGTAAATACTATTATTTGAGTGCACGACTGCCCACCGGCCACCTGTGAAGTGTACATGCTTAATAGTTCGGTACTTGGTACAGGGTCGCCTTACGGCTTACATGGGCCGATAAATATCGACCCTGCTTTTGTGGATGGACCGGAGCGGTCTACTAGACACGGGCTCATGCATTATTATTTCATGTTTATTGGTGCTGTATACAGAGTTACAGACACCGAGACATAGACATTCTTTTGGTTAGGTAGCGGGAGCGAGCTGGGGTCCTGGCCCCTGGGATTGGGAGAGTGGGATGGGAGGTATGTAAATGAAATTATATTTTTAAACTAACTATGTACTAAAGGTTCCAATTTTACTCTGGACTCAGGGTGGCTATGTATTATTGGTACATAGATAACTATAGAATCTGAACACTGTGAACAGGGTTGTTTTTACAAAAATAAAATACAACTATAAAACGAATCCAAACAGCAACTCAGCAAGCCATTATAGCTGGGGGCGGCGACCTGGTGCCCTGGGAAGGTATGTAGCTATTTTTACTCTGTACTAATAGTGGCTAATTATTGGTAGATAACTTTACAATCTGAACAGTGTCAACTGTCAACTGCCAACTCACACTCTCGCAGTGCCAACTGCCAACTGCCAACTGCCAACTCTCCGGCTCTCCCAGACGGACCCAAGTGTAAAATGTGGATTATTATTATTTTATATATATATAAACCTAAATATATACAGTGTTGACGATTGACCAATGACAACAATTTAAAATGCATCCAATAAAGCATCGTTTTAGTTTGAAATATTTGAGAATGTCAACAAAAAAATGAAACAGCGAATAAATAGTTTATATCCTTAAACATGAGTATTTTACTTATAGAGTCAACACATAAGGTTTTAAAATTTAAATTTTAGTACAGTCTTGGACTCTTGGCCATTTGTTTTTTAAAAACATCTATTTTTATCTTCTACTCTATAGAGGTAGGCATATTATGAAAGGATAAAAATAGAAATGAGAACACTCAGTCTCAGAACAGTCAACAGTGAACAGTCAAAACTTGAAAACTGAAAACTCAGAACACACTACTCTCTCACTAGAGTAGAGTGGAGACTAGAGAGTCTCGAGGGAGAGTACACTAAAAAAAAAATTTAAGAAGTATCAGAAATTCAGAAAGTAGCAAGTTATTTTTAGCAACTATGTATTTTTTTTAAAAGAATATAACAATTGTTATTAATATATTTTGAAAAATAGAATACTGCGCCATAAAGTTTTGTTTTCTGCCGAGTGTTGAGTGCTGACCACAGTGACCAGTCTCAAGACAACTCTCACCGTCTCATTTCTCAAATTCTCACGCCTGGCACATAGGCACTGCACTTGCAGTCAGTGCAGTGTAGCACAGTCTTTTTTTCAAGTGCAGTCTGTACATATTTTCTTTTTTTTTAAATAATATATTTCGAGGAGAGAGGAGACTGGTAGAGCTAGCTACTCTACTCTAGAGAGAGAGAGAGAGCGTATTTAGGTAACAAAGGCTGGCCGCTGGCGTGACAGGCGATTTAGCATACAAACCGTCACTTCTTGCAAGTTGCGAGTTGCGCGTTGCGAGACTTGCGACTCAGTTGCGAGGGATGTATTTTTTTACCACAAATGTACCCTGAGAGTAAAAACGGGAATCACCTTTGGCACTTTTTCGCATACCACAGTCTTGCATCTGGTAAATCTTGACTTTTGAGTCTAGCTTAGACTCTAGACTCTGGACTCTGGAGTCGTGCTGCTTATTCATTATTTTACCTTTTGTTTTTTGAAAAAAAGCCAAACACATTCTGAGAGAAGTCCGAACTCAGGGGAATGTCTTTATACGGCACTGGTGACAATAAAATTATTAACCACCGCAGCAGATTCCTACCGGTCTCATACTTTTACTTTTCGAGTTTACTTTGCTTTTTTATGATGTAATTTGCGTGATATTAGCCCATTTATTGCACTTGTTGTATTAGTTCTTTGTCGGCCTCAGAGGAGAGGTCGACGTATGTTAGACACGAATAGTGTCAACTGTAAAACCATGGGCGAATCCGAAGCAATAGATACGACAGAGGACGCCTATATACATGTGTCTAACTGCTAACATATGTCAAGCCCTTAAGACCGACAAGGACCTAGCATAAGTGCAATAAATGGGTTGTATCCGCGCTACAATATCTAACATTTAAGTCGAGCGCTTTCAGCCGACAGATAGCAAACAAACCGGCAGAAAACAAACACATCTCACATGTCCTTAAAATCACGCTAATTACATTAATACACCTATATTTAAGCAAATTAAACTCGAAAAACTTATAGTATGAGACTGGTAGAAAACTGGGCCTGAGGTGGTTAATAATTTTATTGTCACCAGTGCCGTATAAAGACATTCTAGTCGACTGTTCTCCAAGAGTAAATGCGAGTCGGACTTTAAGCGAATTCCAACGCGACTCTCTGCATACCTTTATTTGATTTCTGTCAACCATAGAGATATAGGTAGACTCTTGCGTCTTGACTTTTGAATCTTAGCGAAGAAACGATGTTGTGGCATTCCAATGTAATGGTTCGTCATCCCAGTAACCCATACATAATGTAACACACAGACGCCACGGCCAATACTGTCAACGTCAGGATAAACTCCGTTGTATAAATAATCAGGTTTACATCCTCATATCACCACTATGAAACAATATCACAGTCGATTCTTTTGAGGTTGTGACGTTAAATAAAATGAGTTTCTCGGCAATATCATACACCCTTGCGAGCATGCTGCTGGTCAGCATGTCCAGCAACATGGTTGCGGGACATGTTTACATGTCTGATCCAGAAGCCCGGAATGTTCATGGTAATCCCGACAGACAATCACTGGCCGCCGGAGGCCCTAGTACAGTTCTGCAGGATGGTCAGTACCGACACGGTTTGTGTGGAAACAAACACACTGACGCACTACAGAATTGGAATGAGCCTATGGGAATCAAGCGAACCTATACTGAAGGACAGGAGATAGACATCTCAGTAGTGGTAACTGCGCACCACATTGGCTACTTTGACTTCCAACTCTGCGATACAACGGATATCTCCGAGGAGTGCTTTGCCCAACACCAATTAACACGTACTGGCTGCGAGGGTAGTGGAAGTGTTGACGACCCAAACTGTGAGCGCTGGTGGAAGCCTCTAGCACTGCATGAGACTATGGCCTGGGTGGTGACTGCCAATGGTGGATACCAGTACCACACACTGGATAGTGGTACTGTGATGGTGAGGACCAAATTTGTCTTGCCGCAAGGTGTGACATGCACAAACTGTGTTTTGCGCTTCCATTACTATTCTACGAACTCTTGCCGTCCCGAAAATCAGAATGACGATTCGAACATGGTGTCAGAAGAATTCTGGAATTGCGCCGATATACAGATAACAGGAGCACAAGGCACAAGAAACACGGACGCGACACCTGCGCTCGTTGCAGACCTGAAAACCCGTGTACCTCAAAATCTGAAGGGCACCGGCATGGATAATTTCTGTCCCCGACATGGTTTAGGAGAAATTCAAGAATATGCCAACGTAGCTCAGTGTGTCTCTTACGACATGAAAACACTACAGTGCGACTATCCAGGCAACAGCGACGGCAATGGTAACGCTGACAAATGCGCGAATATTGCCTGTGGAGCTCATGGTATCTGTGAATCTGGTAATTGCGAATGTATCGATGGTTACACCGGGGCTTCATGTGACACGCCACCCTTAGATGGCTGCGCGACAGTTGATTGTGGTTCACATGGAAGTTGCAGTGGAGGTGTATGCACGTGTACAGACGGATACTCAGGTAAACTCTGCACCGATGCAGGTAGTGGTGGTGATGGTGACGGTGTTGGTGGTGATCTTGTACAGAAATGTAAGGAATGTCGGGGCTGTTTGTGGGATGCACCGGGCGCATGTTACCATGATTGGGACAAGGCCACGTGCGACCGATACGCTGGATACACTTATTGCGGCAATGTCGGTAGTGATCTCTGCCAGAATACCAAGTGTGGTGTCCACAGTTCCGCATGTAATGCGGGACAATGCACATGCACAGATGGATATACTGGGCCACTGTGTGATGTAGCCCAGAATGTATGTGCCACAGTTGATTGCGGTTCAAATGGTATTTGTGAACTCGGTGTTTGTAAATGCACAAACGGCTTCAGTGGTGATTTATGCCAGAATTCTTCTGACGCCTGCTACAGCTTGAACTGTGGACTACATGGCTATTGCGAATCTGGAGTCTGCACCTGTGAAAACGGATACACTGGCTCTCTCTGTACTATACCTCCTGCCAGTCCGTGTGACAACATCAATTGTGGTCAGTATGGTAGCTGTACTGACGGTATGTGCGTATGTTTGGATGGATATACGGGCACTCTATGTGACACCCCCGCCAGTGGAACCGGCGACAGGGATCCACAATGCGGGACATGTGGAGGCTGCTTGTGGAAGGCCCCCAATGCGTGCTACGCTACGTGGGACAGAGCCACCTGTGAGAGATACACACAGGGTGGTTACACATTCTGCGGCACCACAGGTGGCGATGGAAACAAGAGTGGCAACGATGGTGAGGGCGGTGATAGTGGTAGTAGTGCCTGTGACACCGTCGATTGCGGAGCTCATGGGTCGTGTGATGCTGGCATGTGTAACTGTGACGCCGGATACACAGGGCTGTACTGTGATGTGATTCAAAGCCGTAATATACCAACCGGATCCATTCGCAACTTGTTGTCCAGTGCACAGTTTGATGTGATGTTCAATCTGAGACAAAACTCCCCCAACTGCAACGAAGGAATTTCAAAGTTGACGTATGAGAACTTTGTGACAGCGGTGGATACGTACTATCCTGCATTCGCTAATGAAGGCAGCGACCAAACACGATTAAGAGAGATTGCTGCGTTTCTGGGTCAAATCTCGCAAGAAACCACAGGCTGGTGGCCGGGACAGGAGTACGGGTGGGGTCTGTGCTTCATCGAGGAAGTGGCGTGTCGAGAAAACGGGTGCCCACAATACTCACAGCCTGGGAATGCGCAGTATCCGGCGGTAGAGGGCAAGTCATACCACGGTCGAGGTGCTATCCAGATCACATGGAACTACAACTACGGAAGTCTGAGTGAAGAGCTTTTCAATGGTGACAAGAATGTGCTGCTGCAAAATCCCGACCTGCTGACGGAGGATGGTGTGGTTGCTTTCCGAGCTTCCCTATGGTTCTGGATGACTGCTCAAGATTCCAAACCTTCCTCACACGATGTTATGATTGATGTTGCACCAGAGTGTCCGAGCGCGCGTAGATACAACGGATACGGCCGTACAACGAACATCATCAACGGCGGTCTGGAGTGTCAAATACCCACACCCGCGAAGGTGCAGAATAGAGTGAACTACTACGAGCGGTACTGCAGTATACTCGGAGTAGACCCCGGTCAGAATCTATACTGCGATCAGATGTTAAACTACCTATCCGGAGTACAGTGTCGGAGCTAGGTTCGGGCACGGTCCACAAAATTTGCTAACTAGTAAAATGTATGTGCCGTCAGGAATCAGCCGTTCCCCTGATATACATTCTGGAGTGGTTGACGATATCTCAAATAATTACATTAACTTAAATTTAGAATAAAATACATATGTACGTACATCAGTCTATACTGAGGTAACGTCATACAGGAGTAATTGCAGATCATATGTTGTATGTGGTTTGTATCCAACAGCTATATAATAAATTATATATATATATGTATATGTTTATATATATATATATATATATGTA